CATTTTGTGTGGCAATTATGAGGTCATTATCTTCTAATTTGATTTCAATTATTTAAATGCATTAAGTTAGAGATTTTATTATTCATAAAAAAATTAGTCCACTATTTAAACTACTGAAATTTAGGAAACTATACATAAAGTTCACTCAAAACATATACTCTGATGTTCTATTGTGTATGGATCATAACTGTTTATCTACCATTCTACCAACGTTAAATGCTCATGCATTGTTTTTGCATACATAACAAGAATTCCTTATCTCTGAAGTTTATATACAGGATCTTTGTTTTATAATCAAGGTTTGTAGTCAGAACTATTCTGCTAGTTGATTTGCTTATTTGAGTCTAAAGAACCAAAATAAAAATAATAATTAGGGTCACTTTGAAGAACCAAAAACCTGTACACAATTTGAAAGTAACATCATTAACTGACTTCTGGGAAATATTCTCTAAGTGAAAGCATTATTGACACATACTGCAGACAAGATTTGCAGTGCCCTATTCCACCAAGCTTGTACATCTTAAAAAGATTTTAAGTCATAATTTTTAATGGAATAATGCTGCTACTTATACATATATTTATGGCTAGTATTGTGAAGTACTAAGGGAAAACCAATGTACCCTTTTTCTCTGATCACTAAAAATTAAGACTGTAATACTCTAGTTTGTACCAACACATAGTGTGTGCTGTAACAGACTTCCTTAGAGTTATAGAAGATGTGTAATTTAACTTTTAAGAAAAATTTTGCTCATGTAACATGCCCTATTCTTGACAACAATAAATATCACAATAATAAAAGTAGCTAACATGAAGTGATATGCCAAATGCTCAACATGCAGCGGCTCCTCATGGTGACACCCTGTGAGATAACATTATCCCTGTTTTATTGTCAAGTTCTTTCCCTCAGTTCTGATATTCATGAACTACACTTCCAAATATATATCTCACATCTGTCTACACCCCAGTGCTACCAGCTCAGATTCAAATCCAATAATCTTCCGTCTAGACTTCTAACTGATGTCTTTGCTATCACATCTGCTGCCCTACAATTCATCCTGAACACAGCAGGCAGTGATCTTTTCAAGGCATAAATCAGATCAGGTCCCTTCCCTGCTTGAAACTCTGCAATGGGTTTCCACAACACATACAATACAATATTAGTTCAAAGTCCTTATGATCTGCAAGGCTTTATGTGAGCTGGCCCCTGTCATCTCTTCAATCTCACTGAGATTTACTCACCATGTCTTTTACTTTTTGTTGGTCGAATATGACAAACTCAGTGCAGCCTGAGTACTTTGCAACTTGCTGTGTGCTCTTCCTGAAGACCTCAGTCCCAGATCTTCACAGGCCTAGCTCCTTCTATCATCCAGTTCTCAGCCCAAACGTAGGCCGCTCAGAGAGACTTTCACAGACCACGCAATTTAAAGCCACCCATGCATGCATGCACACACCCTCTCATCATTGTTTTCAACATCCTCCAGCTTTACTTTCCTCCTGCACTCAATAACTACCTGAAAGTGCTTTGTCCATTTATTTATTTACCTGCCTATTACGTATCTCCTCATTCAAGGTATTCCATGAATAGAGCCACCCTGTTTATGAGCTGTCTATATCTCTGTCACCTACAATAGTGCCTGACA